ATGGCAAACCATGCTTCAGCGAAGCAACCCTGCAAATGATGTGAGGAACTCTGAAGCAAGTACAAGCCCCTTAAATCCTGTAAGACTCCAACTTGGGCAATGCGAATCTTTGGACTTTAAAGATGATTGAACCAATCTCTATAGGCAATGGAGAGTGACTTCTTCTCACGTTGGCTGGCAAGAAAAACATGCAAAGAAGGAAATTAAATTGCAAGAGCAATACCTGATGAGACACTAGTTGAGCATCAGAAAATAACAAGAAAAGGCAGACAGCACCACTATCAAGTTCTCCGGGTTCATCATGGAAAAAGCCCACTCCTCAACTTGGAACAGATGCTAAAAGCAATAGGACTCGCAGCTCTAAAAGAAGACGTTATCATGTCGGGCAATATGACTCGCAGCTAAATAGTGTTGGCTTGCAGCATGAAAATCCCCTTTGCCACCAACCAGAAATGTTATTAATTTGGTTCATCAAACATCCCAAAACCATCATTACATTTAACAACTACCAAGAAATAACGTTTATCTTTGTGCATAGTCAACGGCCCTAACAAAATAGAACCATCAGCATATCAGGTTGACCAAACTTGCTTACAACAACTTTATGATGCCAACATTGCACAGCCAAAAGTACCAGTGAGTTTGTGTGCGGGGTGAAAGAGAGTGAGAAAAGGCATATGAGAGAATTAAGAATATGAAGAGCAACTGAAGCATCAAATTCAAGTTGTTCATTTCCTTCTCTTTTTTTTAAACTAGAAATAGGTCTCGTACTTTGCACTAATTATAATATCATAAAATATAATATTTTTTATACATTAAAAGCTATTTGTGAAAATTATTTAACAAATATAACATTTTCACATTTTCTATTATTTATTTAATTTGTTATCCTCTTTAATTAATTATCTTTATAAACCATTATTTTAAAAAGAAAAAAAAAGTTCACAAAATGTTATATCTACAAATTCATATAAAATCTCTAGAGAATTTTTGATAAATGAGGATACATTTGAGCGCTTTAAATTTAAAATAATGGTTTTAAAGACAATTAACGGTCACATTATATATTAAAAAATATATAATATAATTCAAAAAACATATAAATTATATTATAAGTACAAAAATTCTTAAATGCTAACAAATCATAACCTATTCATATTTATAGTTCATACACATAAGCCATACCCACATATGTTCCATAGTTCATGAATTCATATTGCTATTATACACAAATATAAATGATAAATCTAAGCGCCAAAAAAAGAAAGAAACCCTAATTTCCAAATCCCTTTTCAATTTTTCTCATCTAATTATCAAAAAGATGACAACGCCCATGCTGGTGTAGCTGATTAAATTAATAAAATTGGGTAAAAAGGTAATTTCATAAAGATTTTCAAAACCCGTCGAGTTCATAAAAAATCGTCGGGTTTAGCGAGTCACAGGTTCGATTGTTCAAGTCAAACGGTTCAAAGCAACTCATGTGCAACTCCTATCCAATTGCTAAACCAACCCGGTTCCATGGCTAGTCCACTGATTTGACCGGTTCAACCACTGGGTCGGGCCGGATTTAATAACTATGATTTTAATGTATAAATAATAATAAAACCTTTAATTTATTAAATTTCTGTGCACAAATTTGATTATTGGCATAAAATAAACTAAAAAACTATATAGTGAACAAAATTAAGCAATTGGTAATTTACAAAATGTTTAGTGTGTACAAAGCAATTAAAAGTTTATTATGCATTCTACAGTTATAAAAACTCTGAAAATGGAAGATTATCATATTTAAACTAAATTTTTAGTATAATATTGACTAAGAAACCGTATAATAAACAAAATTAAGCAATTGCTACTTGTAGAAAACGTTTATTATATACAAAGTAATTAAAGGTTTATTGAACTCTCCAGAAGGAAGATACTCATATCTAAATTAAATTGTTGCATATTTTGTAACAATAAGGAGAGAAAATTTTCTATGTTGTATCAAACCAGTGTATACAACAAAATCTGAGCAAAATACATACTAAAAATTATGATTTGCATACAGTAAAATTTTATCAATTTAAGTAGTTGTAAACCTTTTATGTTATATTTTTATAATTATTCATAACTTTTTTTAAAGTTTTCTTAGCAAATATGACATAATATAGTGAATTTAATTATCAATTTAACCTTTTATTTTTTTCATTAACTGTTCATAACATTTTGTCTTCTTATTAATCGGGGTTTTCTTCTAAACCAATATGTATATAAAATACAGTTAGCTTTAATTATCACACATAAGAATATAATAATGGGAGATAATTTTAACACATACAATAATTGGAGATAAAGAAAATGATTGGTCAATATAGTTGTCAATGGATAGCTTTTAATTTTAATTACTAACATTTTTTAGATGTAATTTATTGAAACTTTTCATTTTTTTTATTAGTGTCACGATTGAAATGCAATAACTCTACTAAAAAGACATGAGAGGAATTTAGGCATAACAAAAACTAATATCAAAATATGTTTACACTTACACTCTCTATTGCCAAGATCCATCATACTTTTTATGTAGTAATGATAATGATACTTGCCAAATCTGCTAACGAATTGAAGGATTGCATTGCCGCATAATATCAGCAATGAACCTTTCCTAATTATTCTCAATGATGCAAAAGTCACATTCATCACATCCTTCTCTTTCTGAATGCATCGTTTCCAGTTTTATTGGCAGAATATCAAATTCTCCAGCAAATTAATTGATACAAAAAAGAAATGAAATGCTTAAGGAAAATTCGTGTGGTTGGGCTGTCATTTTCTGTCTATTATGTTTGAAATCATAATCTATTGTGGTCTTTTTGGTATAAATGTTTTGTCTTTGAACTTGATTTGAGTAAATCTAGAGAAGGAAGCACCTTGACATAACATTTTTGGTAGCTGCAACACTTAATTTTGGCCAAATTTGATGTTGGAATCGCGTTGTGGAAAAAACTATTCTCAAACCACCATCCAACATGGAGGTGGGTGGTGCCACCACGGGGCCTTTGTGGTGTTGCCATGCCTAGCAATTGTTCCAACTCAATGAGGAGGAAGAAGGTGAAAATTGAAAAGAAAAAAAAAAAAGGAAAAGCTCTAAAACTACATAATTTTCTCATGTTTTGGAGACAAGGTGATAAAAAATGAACAGGACAAATTTAACCACGTCTTTTGTCATATGCATTGCACATGGCGGCACACATTCCATTTGGATTATCGATTAATTGGACAAAATGACTATTAGCACCCACATTTTTTTTTTTCACAACAATGGCCAATTGAAAATAAAAAATAGTTGAGCGGTCAAAAATATGCTAGCTGAATAGCTTAGTGCTGTCCAAAAATACAGTAGCTGAATAGCTCGCATATGGTTCATATAAGCCTAATAGACACGGAGCCAACAAAGACCAAAGAACCTGCAACATATGATTAATGTGAAAAGTCATAAAAGACTTCAGAATTAAGTAACATTATATCATAGTATAATGTGTTTTCTAGGTATGTCTAAAATTGCATCGTAGTTAGTGCAGTTGTTTCGGAAACATATTGATGCTTGTCTAAAATACCTAAAACATTTTTTTTTTTTTGTGTTATCTTCACCATCCATTTAACCATTTTGCCACCGGTAACTTATTTAAGGTACTCTTTTTATTTTTTTTTCCAAAACTTGTAGATGATTTAAATATTTTGCGGTTCATGATGTCTTCAACAAGGTTTGTGTTTCTAAAACGGGTCATAGAAACAAACCTTAGTAATATCTCCTCCAAGTTTTACAAGTACATACACGTGCATGTCTTAAGAGGGGACAACCATTTCCATCATTTTCGGAGCTTAAGCACCTGGTGACATTTCTAGTTTACATATTCTTAAATATTTCTTAGTTAGTGTCATATATTTCATCCAACAATAACTTTAAAAGTACTTAGTTGGCCTTTAAAATTTTCTTGGCGACCTGCATAGATATGTATCCATGCTTACTGCTTCTACCAAGTAAGCCAATTGCGACGCTTTTCAAGTATATTGTGTTGTAAGTCAAAGCTAAGAATGTGTCAATACAAAAGATAATTGCTAATGTGTCACTACTTTCTTTGAAATTTTTCGCAATATCACTTAATACGTCCTCCTAAACCTCTACAATTATCACTCATCGTCCTTACCACCTAAAAATCAATATCATAAGGAACCAATTGACACTTTTACCTTAGTTTTTAGGCTTATTTGGGGAATATTTTCCCACAAAAAAAAAGTTTGGCATTTTTGTTTTCCTACCTTCTTTTGGAAAAAATGCAAAAATATTTACCTATTTTTAAAGAAAGTGTCATAAAAAAAAACTTTATCACCAATTGAGATGCTTTATGTTGGAAAGTGTAATTTTTGTTTTACATGAATGTATGCACCACGTTGGTTCACGTTATTCGCTTCAAATATTTTATTGTCTTGATATTACTGGAAAAACCATACATTTTCCATAGCAAATGCAGGATTTTTATTTTTATTTTTGTAATTTTTGCTTAAAAAAATTTTGCTTAAAACCATACAATGACTAGTACTAGGCGTGCCCCGTGAAAAGAATGAGCATGGCCATTCTCCACTATGAAATTTGCATGGCATGGTGTGTAGCTTGCAGTTTCAAAGGAGTTTCCATTTAAATTCCATGAAATCGGTAAGTATTCCACCCAAAATACGAGCATGTGGAAGCTACAACTTAATAAGGGAATTATTCGCAATTTTGATTTTCCCTTCTTATCAAATACCAACCGAGATGTTTTGCTTTTCACATCAAGAAGACAATAACAATCCCCCGTATAATTTAACATCTACTCCCATTTGCCACTCTATTACAATAGAAAGGCATACCTTGACCAAATATCTGTAGATACACGAATCGTTTTTTTTCTTTATAGCTACTACTATGTCCATGATAAGTCAAGAAAATTAAATTAAAAAATGTAAATTTCACACGCAACCGTCTCTTATTTGACACACTTAATTTTTAAATTTATGGAGCTTTACGGTAACACACCTACACAAGTCAATCTTGTATTTTTTTTGTAAAGAATTGTCATAGCAATCGCATCAATTGTCAACAGGCAAGATGTTTACTTTGAAAAATCTTCTTCTAGCACATTTCTTCCAAGCCATTTTACCCCAGGTTGGTAGCCATCGGATTAGAAATGGTAACAAGAAGGCAACTGTTAGAAGGATATAGCCTGCCATCTCTTTTTCCTGTTTCTGTCCTTTGAGAATACCACTTGCTGAAAAGCCATAACTAAACACCATAGCAAATACACATATCAGAAGCTCTCTTTGGAATGGAAATCCTCTGGTGAGATAAATTATGATGCTTAGCGATGCTGCGAGGCCCAAGGAATTCGAAAACAAGAATAAGTATGAAGTAGCATGTGAGCCAAAGATTGCGGAGGCCGCCGCAATACCAGAAACAGCTACAGGATTACGCTGTCTGAACGGAGGTAAAATAGATGCTGGTGGCGGACCAGCTTGATTCTGATCATTTGGCTGGTTAGACATATCTGAGATGCTGGATGGAGGGGTTATCCCCGCCTGAAAGGTTACTGTAGCTATCAGGGCAGCAACTACTAATAGTACATTGCGCGTATCGCTTGGGGATTCTCTTTGAATCTGGAATTTGAAGTAGTTGAACCAGTCCTTCGATGGTTGTGACTGATGATCAGCTATATTTTGTTGATGTTTGGCCTGAGAAACAGAACTTATTGAATGATTCTCACCTGCATGTTGTAAGATCAATTGTCTTGAATGAAAATCATCGGGTCTTTCCATCACAATATCAAGAATATCAGCAGCTGTCACACCCTTAAAGTTCTTGGCATTCACCTTGATGGTTGCACAGATGCCTTTGCAGAGGAGTAGCAATTCTATGGACTGAAAAATGTGAAAATTTTTTCAGTAAAAGCATAAGTTTCCACTACTGAACTCCTCTTATTGAATCAAAATCAATTGAAGTCTTGAAAGGGTTGTGTATAAAGGTATAGTAGAAGCCTACAGGACTTGAATTAGTTAAAGATCGCAGAAGTAAAATGACTACATATAGGTCTAAGTATACCTCGTGTTGCTTCGTTGAAGCAGCAATATGCAAAACAGTGTTTCCATTGAAATCAGGCCAATTTATGATTGATTGCAGTTTGTTAATCTCAAGCCACTTGACTAAAACTTTAAATGCTTCAAATTGGTAGCATTTTAGAGCCAGGTGAAGTGCAGTTTCCTGACTAAATGTGACATCTTTAAGGCAATCAGGGCGGGTGGAAAGTAATTCATCTATAACCTCAACTTTCCCTTTACTAGCAGCATAGTGGAGAGCTGTTCTTTGGCCTTTTCCTTTGAGAAGACATAATCCAGGATCCAACCTCAGAATTTGTTTCACCATTTCGACGTCCCCCATGATTGCAGCTACATCTAGAGGCCGAAAACCACCTCTGTCAAATTCTCTAGCCAGCTTCTTGTTGTGCTTTATAAGCTCAATCACAAATCTAACATGTCCACCTTTAATTGCAACATGTAGAACAGACTCCGGAGGATTACCAAATGCAACATCATCAAGAAGGGATGGATTTTCTTGAAGCAGTTTGTTTAGTATCTCAGTATCTCCCTCTCGAGCAGCTTCAATAACCAATTTTGTGCTCTCCATTCTAGAGGATATCACTTTCTGACAAGAACTAATAAACTCACGGGCAGAATTTTTGGCCGAAGGTCATGCACACAGTTGCATCATTGCCTCATTGAACAAGATATATGTACTTGCATAGTCTACCTTGGAATAGTTTCATTTAGAAAATTTGGGTTTAGGAACCAGTAATTCAATCACATTCAAAAACGTAGTAATTTGCGTCTACCAACTCCCGCGGTTGTTAAGTGGAAATTGGCAAGAATAACCCGGTTGAAGAGCTGGTCTTGGTCTTTGTCGCATATTCTAAAATTCTTGCCGTATCAATCCCAGCGTATACGTGGGTATTGCGCATTGGTTTTCTTGAAACCGCCCTCCTATTCTTTTGTTGCGTTTTCCCCTCCAACTTTGAATAATCTCAATTGCCCAGTCCAACGCCCTCTCAGCCGCCGTTGCTAAAATTACTAGTTAACCCGTAAGCCAGTTTTTACCAGCCCAAGAAAATTCAAAAAGATTTGTGGTACTCATTAGATGATCCTTAAAATACACGGTCGGTAAGTGATAAATATTTTTGAAAAAGTAAAGTCAATTAAGAAAAGTGTATAAATAAAAAAGAGGATAATAATTATTAATAGGTGTACTCAGATGGTACAGATCGAGTGTTGTTTAAAACAAAAAACTCATTTAAAAATAAAAATAATAATGTGATGAAGGTGGAAGGAAATGCAATGAACACGTTGATACATCTTGCCAAGTTCATGAAAACCATTCAAAACTGGTCCACACGAATTTTTGAATTTTAAAAGAGAGAAACGTGTCAGGAACATGATTATTCACCTGGTAGGCTGGTACAAAATAGCAGAATTTATTTCTGCACAAAAAGCTATAATGAAATGATTAGAATTTAGATAGAGAACGGATTTCCTGTAAAACAATTTATATTTGTGGCATCAACCAGTGCTCTCTCTTTAATGACACTATCTTCAATAAAAAGTAGCTCAATTACCGAAAGCTGAAAACGTATTGTCTGCCTGAGAATAGCTAATTAAACAACAAGAGATAACTAAATGAGAAACAAAACTAGGAAGAGATTGAGCAAATGAATCTAAAGCATGAAACTGGTTCCTTGGTTCTAAAAGGGAGATTGTTGTGAGCACTGAGCTATTTCACACTAAGAGAACAAATTTGTTCTCAGACTGGATCGAACTGTACACATTCCATTTCCAGGTTGCTAGCGGCCTAGCAAAAGGTTAGCTCCTTAAGGACACGAAAGAAAATTCAGAAATTGAGAGAGAGAGATTAATATATGGTAAAATGAGATTAAACTCACAATAAATTGACATGATTATCCTAATGAACCAACAAAAGAAATACAGAACAGCGATTAAGAAAGTAGCTACATACATGCTGAAAAACATCATCAGAACTGGAGAACTTCCATCAGAACTGAAAAAGAGATCAATATATAGTATAATGAGTTTAAACTCACAATAAATTTACATGATTATCCTAATGATCTAATTAAAGAAGTGCAGAATGGCGATTAAAAAAGTAGATACATAAATGCTGAAGATCTTCCATCTTCAATCAGTTGCAGGGCTTGTGCATGGTAGTCTGAACTTTTGTAACTTGCAATGATCCCTCATTATCTTGGTTACTATAGGTATCAACACCGGCAGAACTGCGGATAGAATGGTGAACCACAAAGTGATGTCCTCATCTGGTGATATTGCAGCCATGGAAGTATCATAAGTTGCCATAAGCGCCAAAAGAGAGAGTTGCAACTCCATTCTTAAGGGAAATCCAGCAGTGAGAACGTTTATCATGAAAGTGGACATAAAAAATCCAATTGAATTAAAAATCAGAAAAAGACCATAAGAAGTCTTGCGGTGAGTGCCCATTACTGCTTCTCCAGCTTTGTGGGGTTTGGTGGATGTGGCGTTTGTGCCTGTACCTTGACTAGGCAAAGAGTCGTCTTGCCAAACGCCACCGGGTGGACTAAGCACAGCTTGATATGTTGCTGTTGCAATTAACACAGCTAACACAAGCAATGTGTTTCGCACTTCATTTGGAGAATCTCTAAGCTTGTCAAACTTGAAATAGTTTAGCAACTTCGCTGAGGGAGATTGAGCGCGCACTCTCCTTGACTGGAAAGGTGATGGACTCTGAGTTGTGACGACCAAATTATCAGATGATGCTCCATTTTGAGGTGACTGCAAGTCTGCTGCCATTCTAGCCCCAGCTGCTTTAAGCATTTCCTCTATTTCTCTATCGCCCCCTTCAGATAGTAAGCTATCAATAGGCGTAAAACCCCTCTTGTTCAACGAGTTGACCTCAACTCTGCCCTCATGAAAAACATTTTTGTCGAGCATGAAATCGATTACCTGCTAACGTAGTGTAATTTCAGTTACTGAACTTTAAAACATCACGAGACAGTGAACCAATATTCAACACGTTTGCGACTCACCTCATACTGCTTTCTCGAGACAGCAAGATGCAAAATGGACTCACCCTGATGGTCCTTCTTATTCAAGATCTCCCGATTGTTTGACCGTATCAGGTACTGTACCAAGAATTCAAAGGCCTCGAATTGGTTGTTCTTTAAAGCCAAATGAAGGATTGTCTCACCTCGTCCAGTCACATACCCAACTGACTCGGCACAAGCAGAAAGCAGTTCGTGGATGACATGAATCCTGCCTTTAATCGCAGCATAATGAAGCGGGATTCGCCTCTCTCTTCCCTTGATCAGGCACAGAAAGCAATTTACCTGCAAAAGCTCTTTCACAATTTGTATGTCCCCATTACCTGATGCAATATGCAAGGGGCTAAATCCATCCTGGTTGAGCTCTTCAGCAAACTCCGGCCTTAAATGTAAAACCTCTTTCACATAATCAATGTGGCCTCCTATGCAAGCTATGTGCAACGGAGTCTCAGAAACTGCCAATGGAGCTGACCTGAGTACGAGGGGATTCTCTTTTATGAGATTATGCAAGTCTTGAACATTTCCTGTCTGCGCAGCTTCGATGAGCCTCCTATCCATCCTCTTTGGGTAATCTTGCAACAGGGGCCTTGAATGATTCAGGTTTCATTATTTAGTTTTAGCTCTTCGTTCTTGGAAAATTCTGGAGGAAATACTGAAACATTTGTGTCCCTATCATTCTTTTTGTTATGCAAGTCAAAAGGATAAAATAACTAATCCTTTTGCGTTGACCTTGAAAATGGAGCTAGAAGACAAGAAGTTGTATCATAGATGAAATCAGGTTAAGTGGTCAAAGAAGACTAGAAACCACTAGGTTTGAATAAGGGCCACCAAAAAGGAATTTAAAAGGACTAATTTCCTTTCTGGATCGTAGGTCGGAGGTTCTACTCCCATCTATAATGAAAAAAGTTCAAAGTAAGTGGTAGAACACCCTTTGGTTTAGTCTGGTTCTTTTCATACCTACTATCTCCTTATACATATTTTCTTTAGGTTCCCCTCTCTATAGATTAGAATAAATTAGTTTATATAAAAGTTATTGATGCCACACAAAAAAAAAAAAAATGTCAAAGAAGGTTAGAGTTTCACCTGATTGTAATTCATTAAACTGTCTGTAGAGGTGTCAAAATAGATGATTTGGGCGGGTTTGAGTTAATTAAAATGAGTAATGGGTATAAGCGAGTCAATTCATTTATACCCATTTAATTAGATGGGTGTAAATGTGTAAGTCAAAAATGAATTGGGTAACCCAATTATTCATTTATAACCCATTTATTTTAACTTTTTGTAAACTCATTTAAATTTATTTTTGCAAACTAAGTTATTAATTTATACCACTCTTTGCACTCATTGTTAGTTTTAAATATTTACTTATAATGCTCAATAAGTCTCATTATCAATTTTTTTTCATATGTACTCTATGTCGCAAAATTACATACTATTTAATAATTAAATAATAAGAATATAAAATTTTGAATTAAGTACTATAAAAGTTAATAAAAAAACTTAATCCAAAAAAAATTTTCGACCCCTATCATTTTTTTCGTGTGTAAATTTAAAATTTCATTTTGAAAAGATAGGAAAAAAGGCTAAAACTTGTCATAAATTGGTAATACTGAAAAATGAACAAATTAACAAACTAAGAGAAAATAAAATGATAAGATAAAACCAACAAATAATAATAATGAAACAAAAGTAGTTAAAATCATGACAAAATGAAAATTTTGAAAAAAAAAATGGGTGGAGAAAGGCAATTCTAAATGAGTTAATTAGATTTGATGGGTTACCCAATAATATCTATTTATTAAATAGGTATTATTGGGTAATCCATTTATACTCATATGAAACGTGGACAATTACTTCTAAGATTCGTAGCCTATAACTTAGAAGTGATCCGATCCCAACCCTTTCTCTGGGTCAATGTTCCTCTTTTAAGCAATATGATAAAAGCAATGTATGTGTTTGGATATTATTTGAAATAATTATTATAGTATTTTTTTGTGATGTGATTATGTAAAATAAAAAAATAATTAAAAATATAAAAAGGTGGATTGAAAAATATGTTTATGATAAAAGAGAAATATAATGTAAAATAATTCAGCAATCCAATCCGCTTCACACACTTGAATTGAATAAGACCTCTAGACCGTAGTTGAAGACATTTGCCTCGCCTAGCTGATAAAGTTACATCCTGAGTCCTGACAACCAAAAATGTCAAAGAAAAGGTAAAATACATAGAGTTTCGTTGTGGTATGTATCGCCAAAAGATACGAAACCTCCCCATTTTTTAAAAATCCCTCGTATAACTACCTTATATTGTTAATTAAAGTGAAAAAGTGATTTCTAACCTACTACCAGTAATGTAGCAGGTCATATTCTTTTTTATTGACAAAATTATAATTCATTTTATATTTTTATATTTCTTTCTTTTTTATTAAAAAAAATTATTTCTTGCCTCTTCCCTCCTTTACAACACCATCCCTCTTTTCTTAGTTTTTTTCTTTTTTTTTTCTTTTCCTTTTCTTTCCTATTTTTCTCTTTCGTTTTTCTTCCTCCTCCGTTGCCACGCAATCACCACTAATACACCAACACCACCGCCTCCCTCTTCCTTCTCCTTTCTTGCCACCAGCCACCACCCCTTTCTTTTCTCTCCCCCCCCCCACCACCCCTCCCCACTTCACCCTCCCTCCTCCTCTTCCCCATTTCTACCTTTCCTCTCCCCCCTTTCCTGCCCCTCCTCCTCTCTTCATCTCCTCTCCTTAGTTAAAAATATACATTGGTTATGTGGGGATTTAATAAAAAAAAAAAAAAAGGAGAGTTTTGTGTCTTTTGACGTTATCATAGTGGGATTTTATTTTACCCAAAAAAATTTTTTCCATAACTCCAAAAGAGTGCTTTTATAATTCTAGTCAAATTGTCGAAAGCTAATGCAGCTCCATGAAAGTACTATTCCAGTACTAGTGGTTTTAGGTGCCAAAATGACAATCTCTATACCAGATGTTAAAGAATAGCTTCTATAATCCTAGTGAAAAACCTAAAGAAAAGCATGTACAGGAAAAGTTAGCCTAAGAATATAGTGGTCTTGCCTAGGGGTGGGCAAAATTATCCGCTAACTCGAAAATCCGACGTATCCGATCTGATTCGATCCGAAAATTAGGATATCCGATTTTTATTATTTGATCGGGTCAAAAGAGGGTCGGGTACCCACTAAAATGTGGGGCGAGTTAGGGTCACATAATTAAAAACTCACAGATACCCGATCTGCCCCGCATATATATTTTTTATTTTTATTTTTATTTTTACTTTTATACACACATTATAAAATTATAAGTTAGAACTAAATAAGTAATTTTATTGAACAAATTGCATTACAAATATGGAAGACTATAGTTTATTTACAAGATTTATTTGTAGAGGCCATGATCTTATATTTTATAGAAAAAAGTTTAATTAATGTGAAACATATATATTAAAAATTGTGCTAGTTATTTCAAACTTTATTGATTTTGAATTCTTTTAATTTTTTTCCTTTATCTTATATTCGCTTCACATGCTTGTTTCTTGGTGAAAAACCTTTTTTTAGAAAAAAAAAATTTATTAAATCTTAGATGAATGTGTAAAATATAAAATTAAATTAGTATAAATCATTGTTTTAAAAAAATTAAATGATAAATGGGACGGAACGGATACCCACTGACTCGACCCCTATCTCAACGGGTACCCAGTAATCAGATATCAACGAAACGAGTAAGGATCAGAAAATGGCTGACCTGCAAGGTGCGACTCGGATCAATCAAATGGTGAATGGGACGGGTATCCGACCCGCAACCACCCCGGGTCTTGCTCTTGCCCAGTGGATTTAGAAGGGGCAGAGAGCAGCACTTCACCCACGGCAAATTTTATGGTCATTGAGCAAGTTACAGAATTTTTTACCAGTTCCTCAGTGACCAATCACGTTGTCAAATACAAAAACTGTGGACGTACAACCCAAAAGTAGAGATAGAGTTTAAGAAAGGTGAACTATTTACTAATGTCGATGCATTTAGAGCAGCTTTAAAGGACTATGTAATTCAGAAAGGATTTCCAATTATGAGACTGAAGAATGAGAATAGCAGAGTCACTGCTGTTTGTGGTGTTGAAGGATGCAAATGGAGAATCCATGCATCACCAGTTTTAGATTCCATGACCTTTATGATTAAGACTTATCAAGGTGAACACACATGTGTGATGGACAGGAAGAACACAGAAGCTACAGCTGACTGGATTGCTAAGAAACTAGTTCTAGTCAGGAGAATTCACCCCAACATGTCCACCAAAGGGGTAGAAGCTGAGATGATTAAGTATGGTGTGCATCCAAGCAAATGGCAGATGTATAGAGCACTAATTAAAGCAAGAAATGAGATTGAAGGCAATCACATTGAATCGTATGCCAAATTGCCAAAGTATGCAGAGCTGATCAGGAAATACAACCCACAAAGTATCTGCAAAATACATTATGATAGGCCTACTCTTCTTGTTGAGCCTAGATTTCTCACAATGTTTATTAGTTTCAAAGCTCAAAGAAGTGGATTTGTTGAAGGCTGTAGACCTTTTGTTGGTTTTGATGGATGTTTTTTAAAAGGTGCTTATGGTGGTGTGCTTCTCACAACAGTCACATTAGATGCTAACAATAGCATTTTTCCTATTGCATTTGCTGTGGCTGAAGCTGAAAATAAAGAAACCTGGAGTTGGTTTTTTCATTACTTTGAGGAGTTTTTTGGGCCATTTACTTCATAAAGTGGTTTTCATGGTCCTCTAACCTTCATGAGTGACAGGCAAAAGGTGAGCTTCACAACAGGCCTTGAACATTATTCTGATTCTGTTATGCATCCAGATTCTGGAATGCTTATGTACTTGTCAATGATTCTGTATTTTTTAGTGTAACTTGTTTGCATGTTTTGGTGATCATTTCAGGGCTTGAATATAGCTTATGAAGAGAAAGTGCCTGTTGCTAGTGGAAGACATTGCTGTAGGCATATCTGCAGTAATTTTAAAGCTCAATTTCTTGGTATTCTGCTTAGTAACTTGTTCTGGAGAGCAGCAAAAAGCTTTGATGTTGCAGGACATAATGAAGCCATGGCTAGCATAAAGGAGTTAAACATAGAAACATGAAAATACTTGGACAAAATTCCTAAAACAACATGGTGCAGATATACCTTCAATACTGGACTAAAATGTGATCATGTCACAAATAACTGCACTGAGTCCTTCAATGCATGGATAGGTGAGTTCAGAGGGAAGCCTATCTTGACACTTGTTGATGGGCTGAGGAAGAAGTTCATGAAGAAAATGCATAAGCGATATCAGAAAGGGTGCATGCTCACCACTGCCATCACACCAAAGATGGTTGGTAAACTACAAAAAATAGGACAAGCATCAAGACAATGTGAACTCACTATGGCTTCTACTAATGTATTTGAAGTGGGGGATATGAACAGGTCCTACATAGTCAATTTATCAGCTAAAACTTGTGATTGTGGAGCATTTCAAATTTCAGGCCTTCCTTGTAAACATGCTGCACTAGGGATTATCTACAAGAGAGAAAAGCTGGAATCCTACTGTGAGCATTGGTTCTCAAGAGATAAGTACTTAAAGACATATTCAAGTATGATTCATCCAATTCCTGATGAGAAAATGTGGCCACCTATGCCATATGTTACACCTGTAATAGTCCTGCCTCCTCCATTAAGGAGAGCTCCAGGTAGACCAAAGACTAAAAAGAGAAGGGAACATGATGAAGGACAGTCTGTGTCACAACCAAAAAGACATTGCTACATCAAGTGTGGAAACTGTGGCTCTTTTGGTCACAACAAGAGGTCATGTCAAGGAGCACCTGTCCAGAATAAGAAGAATGGCAACAGAACTACTGGCCAGCAAGTGCTATATGTGCTGCAATTGCTACTGAATGTGATTATTTTATATTAATTCATTACTTACAATTAGCTTGTTCCTTAACAACAGAGCTATAGAAGAGGCAAACCAGGAAGAGGGACTGCAAACACGGGCCTGTCAGGAGCAACTCTTTGGGTAAGATTTTGTTAACTTATTTAAGATTCTGATTGTAACATTTATAGTACATGCCTTGTTGAAACTAATATTACTTGTCAATGTTTACTGCTAGGATCATGTCTCTGGCAATGTTCCAGTTGTACACTCAAGCCAAGGCAGCAATCCTTCTCCTTCAACTCAACCTGCACCTGCAACTGTGAATGTGCATGTGCAGAATCAGAGCACAACAACCACTTCAAAGAAAAAGGTGCAGTTGAATGAGTAGCTTTTATGATATGCTTCAATAAAATGCTTGAGTGTAATGTTCAACATGTGTGATTGTGCAGAGAGGAAGACCTTTAAGCAATACTGGAGCATCTGCTAGAGGGAGCAGCAAGAGAAACTACTCAAATACTGCTCAGATCACTCAAATTGTGGAACAAGCTGGTCATCAGCAAATTGCTACATTTCAAGTTGCTACACCTGCATCTGAATCCATCAATGCAGCTACAACACTGCACTCAACAAATGTTAGCAACAATAGCAGTTTTAGTATGCAATTCTGATACTATCTCTATAGTTTTGGCAAGTGAATGCTTACTGCTGAAAGTATCAACTCAGTAGTATGCCATTAATTAGGTACATAACAGAGCTATTTTGTACTCTACTGTGGCAGTTTTAGACATGTTTCTGCCTCTCACGACATTGCAATCCTCACCATCTGTTCTAAGTGATTTAATGGTTCAGATGGTGTTTTGAACCTTTTGTGGATTGCTCAGTCATGCTCTGCTATTACTTGCCTGTTGTGTTTCACTTTTGTAGTACTTCAAATTACTGAATTCTGATCAGACTTCTTGTATTAATGCATTAATCTTGTAATACAAGTATGCTTCTGTGACTGTTTTGTTTTGTATTGTTGGTAACAAGTGATTTTGTATTGATGACAGTAGATATAAACAGAACTCTGGTTTGCATTTATATTGTAAACTACAAATGCTGCTGCATACATGATGAAAGGAACTTGTTCCTCTCCTATGTCTTACATATAAATTCGAACTGCAGCTATATCTACTTCATCACTAATGTACATTTCTGGATAGCATCAGCCTATTGACTTCACAATATGGATGAAAACATAAACAGCAACAAGTATGAGATTGATGATAAAAAGTATAGCCACTGCACTTGTCAGAACAGTTGGCATTTCCCTTCTAACAGCCATAGACCTTTGTTGCTGTAGGTGCGATTGTGGCACTGAATTGGTGTCATAATTTCTACTATTAACCTCTTCTTCTTTTGGACCCTCATACCACTGGAAGTACTTGCATTTTGCACAAAAAAAGTATAATTTGTTGGGGTTGTTTTCAGACTCAGAAATCTTCAATGTTGCCTTTCTATTGCACCAGCAATATTTGTTTTGTATTGTGAAGGATGTAGGAGAGTTCCATGATGTTCTCCTGTGGCTGGAAGAAGCCATTTTCTGATTTCTGCAATATGACTTGAAACTGCCAAACTGAGTATCAAGCAAGCTGTGTTTTGAGCTAGAAAATTGCTGCTGCATACATGAGTCCAGATTCTGGTATTCATTTTGCTACTGACCATCGTTTATAAGCTAGTGCCTTAGTTACATCAATTAGCCGTTAAGTAGCCGTTGGTTTCTCAGCAAATGAAGTTGTTGCAGGTCATCATCTGGAAGCATGTTGTTGCATTTATACCCCATTTATAACAGAATCATTGATTGAGCTACAGATTACAAATGTTTAAGTAATGAAAGGTAATGCATAGGGTAATTCACTTGTAACACAAATTATCCGTCAATTGACTTGAAACAAGGACTAAAGTGAAAGGGAATGAAATTATTACCCATGTTATCTTGGTGAAACTGCAATAGTAAGCATTGATCGAGAACCAATCACATATAACCGAATCACTAATTAAGCTATCGATTATGAGACGTTAAGTAATGAAAGGTAATGTATAGGATACTTCACAATTTGTAACATCAATTGACTTGAAATGAGGATTAAAGTGAAAAGCAATGAGATTATTACTCGTGTAATCCTGGTGAAATTGTGATAGTAAGCATTGATCGAACTAATCACATCTAACTGAATCACCAATTGAGCTACCGATTACAAGACATTTAAGTAACGATGGTGCTGTATAGTGTAATTCGCTCTTTGTTATACAAATTATCCATCAATTGACTTGAAACATGGACGTGGGAATAAAAGGAATGAAATTGTTTCTTTTGTATTCTTGGTGAAAATCGCTCTATTAAGCGTTGATTAAACCAATCACATCTAACAAAATCACCAATTGAACTATAGATTTCGAGTGGTGATCGAAATCGAACTCACTCAAACTTTTATTCTACCTAGAGAGAGAGAAAGGGAGAGAGAACAACTATAGATACTAACACACTCATTTGTCTATAGGCATTGTTCATGTAAGGGGCTTGCCAACTTTTGTGGATAGTCCAAAATACAATCTCCACCATTCAAATTTGAAATGGTGGAATATCCACCTTGAATTTGCATTAAACTATCGTGATTAGAATCATGAAACACTCAATTTTTGCTTAACGCAACTAAAGAGGGCATCGTTATGTACCATGATTCGTATTTTGTAAGTAGATTGCCTTATCTTGTTAAATTTAGTTGAAAAATAAAATCTACTTTTAAAATGATATAATTTCATTCCAATTTTGTGTTTAACTCACAATGAAGTGTATCACGTTGTCAAATACAATAAAAGAAAATGACTCACAATGGTAAAATGAGATTAAACTCACAATAAATTGACATGATTATCCTAATGAACCAACAAAAGAAATACAGAACAGCGATTAAGAAAGTAGCTACATACATGCTGAAAAACATCATCAGAACTGGAGAACTTCCATCAGAACTGAAAAAGAGATCAATATATAGTATAATGAGATTAAACTCACAATAAATTTACATGATTATCCTAATGATCTAATTAAAGAAGTGCAGAATGGCGATTAAAAAAGTAGATACATAAATGCTGAAGATCTTCCATCTTCAATCAGTTGCAGGGCTTGTGCATGGTAGTCTGAACTTTTGTAACTTGCAATGATCCCTCATTATCTTGGTTACTATAGGTATCAACACCGGCAGAACTGCGGATAGAATGGTGAACCACAAAGTGATGTCCTCATCTGGTGATATTGCAGCCATGGAAGTATCATAAGTTGCCATAAGCGCCAAAAGAGAGAGTTGCAACTCCATTCTTAAGGGAAATCCAGCAGTGAGAACGTTTATCATGAAAGTGGACATAAAAAATCCAATTGAATTAAAAATCAGAAAAAGACCATAAGAAGTCTTGCGGTGAGTGCCCATTACTGCTTCTCCAGCTTTGTGGGGTTTGGTGGATGTGGCGTTTGTGCCTGTACCTTGACTAGGCAAAGAGTCGTCTTGCCAAACGCCACCGGGTGGACTAAGCACAGCTTGATATGTTGCTGTTGCAATTAACACAGCTAACACAAGCAATGTGTTTCGCACTTCATTTGGAGAATCTCTAAGCTTGTCAAACTTGAAATAGTTTAGCAACTTCGCTGAGGGAGATTGAGCGCGCACTCTCCTTGACTGGAAAGGTGATGGACTCTGAGTTGTGACGACCAAATTATCAGATGATGCTCCATTTTGAGGTGACTGCAAGTCTGCTGCCATTCTAGCCCCAGCTGCTTTAAGCATTTCCTCTATTTCTCTATCGCCCCCTTCAGATAGTAAGCTATCAATAGGCGTAAAACCCCTCTTGTTCAACGAGTTGACCTCAACTCTGCCCTCATGAAAAACATTTTTGTCGAGCATGAAATCGATTACCTGCTAACGTAGTGTAATTTCAGTTACTGAACTTTAAAACATCACGAGACAGTGAACCAATATTCAACACGTTTGCGACTCACCTCATACTGCTTTCTCGAGACAGCAAGATGCAAAATGGACTCACCCTGATGGTCCTTCTTATTCAAGATCTCCCGATTGTTTGACCGTATCAGGTACTGTACCAAGAATTCAAAGGCCTCGAATTGGTTGTTCTTTAAAGCCAAATGAAGGATTGTCTCACCTCGTCCAGTCACATACCCAACTGACTCGGCACAAGCAGAAAGCAGTTCGTGGATGACATGAATCCTGCCTTTAATCGCAGCATAATGAAGCGGGATTCGCCTCTCTCTTCCCTTGATCAGGCACAGAAAGCAATTTACCTGCAAAAGCTCTTTCACAATTTGTATGTCCCCATTACCTGATGCAATATGCAAGGGGCTAAATCCATCCTGGTTGAGCTCTTCAGCAAACTCCGGCCTTAAATGTAAAACCTCTTTCACATAATCAATGTGGCCTCCTATGCAAGCTATGTGCAACGGAGTCTCAGAAACTGCCAATGGAGCTGACCTGAGTACGAGGGGATTCTCTTTTATGAGATTATGCAAGTCTTGAACATTTCCTGTCTGCGCAGCTTCGATGAGCCTCCTATCCATCCTCTTTGGGTAATCTTGCAACAGGGGCCTTGAATGATTCAGGTTTCATTATTTAGTTTTAGCTCTTCGTTCTTGGAAAATTCTGGAGGAAATACTGAAACATTTGTGTCCCTATCATTCTTTTTGTTATGCAAGTCAAAAGGATAAAATAACTAATCCTTTTGCGTTGACCTTGAAAATGGAGCTAGAAGACAAGAAGTTGTATCATAGATGAAATCAGGTTAAGTGGTCAAAGAAGACTAGAAACCACTAGGTTTGAATAAGGGCCACCAAAAAGGAATTTAAAAGGACTAATTTCCTTTCTGGATCGTAGGTCGGAGGTTCTACTCCCATCTATAATGAAAAAAGTTCAAAGTAAGTGGTAGAACACCCTTTGGTTTAGTCTGGTTCTTTTCATACCTACTATCTCCTTATACATATTTTCTTTAGGTTCCCCTCTCTATAGATTAGAATAAATTAGTTTATATAAAAGTTATTGATGCCACACAAAAAAAAAAAAAATGTCAAAGAAGGTTAGAGTTTCACCTGATTGTAATTCATTAAACTGTCTGTAGAGGTGTCAAAATAGATGATTTGGGCGGGTTTGAGTTAATTAAAATGAGTAATGGGTATAAGCGAGTCAATTCATTTATACCCATTTAATTAGATGGGTGTAAATGTGTAAGTCAAAAATGAATTGGGTAACCCAATTATTCATTTATAACCCATTTATTTTAACTTTTTGTAAACTCATTTAAATTTATTTTTGCAAACTAAGTTATTAATTTATACCACTCTTTGCACTCATTGTTAGTTTTAAATATTTACTTATAATGCTCAATAAGTCTCATTATCAATTTTTTTTCATATGTACTCTATGTCGCAAAATTACATACTATTTAATAATTAAATAATAAGAATATAAAATTTTGAATTAAGTACTATAAAAGTTAATAAAAAAACTTAATCCAAAAAAAATTTTCGACCCCTATCATTTTTTTCGTGTGTAAATTTAAAATTTCATTTTGAAAAGATAGGAAAAAAGGCTAAAACTTGTCATAAATTGGTAATACTGAAAAATGA